CCTTAGCTACGGAAATACCTTAGCCACAACAACTCTAGACCTCTCTGAAAACTTCTAAGGATTGAAGAACATCAATTCTAATGCGGATTCCAAGCTTGGGGATGCTTGCAAGCAAAGAACTTGGCTTGCTTTGGTTTGTTTTTGTGATTTCTTTTATTTATATAAACTAGTAGGTAAAGCTCCCCTACCTTATGTATTTCAGTACCTTTTAGTCTCTTATTTCAGTATTGAAAGCATGTTAGGGTATTAGTTCATCCTTTCATCATGTAGTTCTTTAGTTTCTCTCTGTTTCTGGCCTTTTCTTGCATGTTTTCTTTCTTTTAATTAGAACAACAAGTTTTTATTTTAATCATATAATTAGTATGTATGGCCCGATTTAAGCGTCATGTAGGTTAGTTTTTGCATTACTTTGTGTGTTACTTGTCTTTCATGCATTAAATCATGTTAGAACCCTTAAACCGGGCTTAGGAACATATTTTGTATGATTAGTTGCATGTCTAATTCATATTTATTTTATGTATTGCATGCAAGACGGGTAAGGTGGGCATCTAGTAACTCTTTTTGTCCTTCTTGACATGCGTATGTTCCTTGCATTATCTTTTCAATTATGCAAGTTAAATGCTCTTTTTGGGCAAATTTATTTATTTTGGATGTTTTTAAAGTGTAGTTCATTTCAATTCAAGCTTATGGCCATGTTTTATTTAAAATCTATTTTCGATGGAAAATCTGTCTCACTAAAAAATATGGTTTTATTCTTCTAACTAAAATAAATGACACTTGTTTTATTTAAATCACATAGCTTTAGGGTTAGTTAAAGGCTTTAGGTCTAAATTGGATTTTAGTGAATAATTAACCACTAAAATCATAAAATAGAGAATGAATAGAGGTTAATCTTCAGATTGGGCAAAATGGGTGCTTCCATGTAAATGGCCTTCTCCTTTTGTAGCCAAACTCTTGAACCTGGAATTCTTTTGGTCACGACAGGCTAGGCCTTGACTTAGTTTTCATTGTTAAAGGTTTCTTAATTCCTTTTTAACAATTAAGTGGTGACTTTATGTCAATAAAGCAAGTTGGTGTGGGATGCTTGCCTTAGACTTGAAAAAGGCACGGCGCCTACACATGTTTGGTTGAAAATAAAAAATAAAAAAGAATTCAAAATCACTTTTCTATCCACTACACATCAATCAATCATTTTTTCTCTCTCCTCTCTTTTTCTCAATCACTTTTTCTCTCACACGCATCTATTCAATTACAGATACATATATATATATATATATATATCCAATCATCCCAAAGTCCAAAAGTCCAAAACTATTTTCAAAATATACAACCAAACTGATTTTCAAATTTTCTAAACTCTCTTCAAAAAATTACTTTTGAAATAATATCTCAAAACACAAACCAAACAAGGCCTCGGTCCTTTTACTCTCTCCACCATTTCTCTTTGGCAATAATATCATCCAAACTACCTTAGAATATTCCTTCTTAGCTACTTTTCTCCTACGTTACATGGACACATGTATGGATTTTGGGTTTATATATATATATATATATATATCTAGAGATTGGACTCATCAAATCATAAATTTATGGGTATACAAACTCAAAAAAACAATGTCATATTTTTATTTTGTTAATGAAGTATGTAAGATAAAATGGTGTTACATGTAACTTACTGTTGTTAGGATTATTCTACCCATGTGATAAAGGTGGGTCCCATACAGTTAGTAGATTGGTTTATACACATATTTGGATTAGGATAATAGAGTCCAGAATCTATTAGGAAACCTAATATGTGTCGGATTTGGTTACCTAATTGTATGGAACTAGGATTCTCATGCGTAGACTATTATAAATAGTTATTTAGACTATAGAATTTTTGGAGAGAGATTAAAAGAGTGGTGAGGGAAAAAAAATTAGAGATGTAAAGGTGAGAGAAAAAATACCGTGAGCACCGGGTGAGCAAGGGCTCAACGGCACTTGAGCATGGGATTCGGGTAGTGGTGTAGATTTTGAGTGTTTTGGCCATCTCACATGTATTCTTTACTTTTATTCATAGTGGAAATTTACTCTCCTGTAGATGTAGATAATTTAAGTCAAACCATGTAAATCTGTGTGTGATTGTTTTTCTCTTTGGTAGGTATGTAGGTGTGCTTCCGTTTGCCCTGGTAGGATATGGTGTAACTCCAAACAACTGGTATCAGAGTAAAAGGTTACCAATCCTAGGTGTAGTTGGTAGAGGGTACAATTACTACACATGGAGGACTCACACAGAAGAGAAAGAAATCCCGTGGTACAAGAAATAAATAAATAAAAGGTTCAGATTTAGTGAATCCTTTCGTAAGATTTTCAAATTCAAATCGAAAGTGGATCTCAAGGTTTTCAAGGTTGCGGATTCATTGATATGGTCAGAATTTTTATATTCTAAACATATTTAAAGGGATTATGCAGATTTAAGGGTGATTAAAGGTAATTGCATGTGATCTAGGTGATCTAGGAGGAGTAATCTGATTCAATCAATAAGGAGTCCAGTCTTTGCATGGTTAATCAAATGGTATTTTGTTCTGGTTGGACATCGTGATTGGAAACTTGTATGGGAGAGAATGATAGAGAAGGACGGAGACAGTTAGGTAGAAAGTTTCTTCTTGGGAGCTAGAAAAGAAAGCTAGAGAAAAGAAAGAGAAATAATAACAAAATCAAGGGGAATCGAAATTCGTTCTTTTAGACTTGAGAATTGAACTCTTAGGTGATATAGAAATCCATACACGAGGTTCTTAAGTTAAACTAAAATCTTCAAGCTACGATTGCTCAGTAAATACGCCCTCTTACAGGCTAAGTTAGATTGAGTTAAACTTCGCCACATTTGCAAATGAAACAATTAGTTTCCTAAACTAATTTGTTCCCAGAACAAAAGGGAGAAGGATGGTGATGGACCGAGAGAGAATGAGAAATACTTTCTTCTAGAGAGCAAGAAGAGAAAGTTAGAGAACAGTAGGAACAAAATTAGAGGGAGTTTAAATTCATCCCTTTCGACTTGAGAATTGAACACTTAGGTGATTAAGAACTCCTTAAATGAGGTTCTTAAGTTCAATTATTGTCGTTAAGCCCAAATTACTAAGTAAATTCTTGTTCTTAGACGCTAGGCAAGAACAGTTTGACTTAACCATAGCCACTTAACATAATGAAACAATTAGTTTCCTTAGCTAATTAGTTTCTAGAACAAATGAGAGAAGGACGGAGAGCGTTTGGGAGAAACATTCTTCTTGACAGGTATAGGAGAAAGTTAGGGAAAAGAAAGAGAAATAGGAACAAAATCAAAGGGAATTCAAATTCATCTTTTTCGACTTGAGAACTGAACACTTAGGTGATTCAGAAAATCTTAAATGAGGTTCTTAAGTTAAATTAAAATCGATAAGCTACAATTACTCAACCCACTCTCTTTCTTAGATGCTAAGTACGATTAGTTTGAGTTAAACTAGGCCACTGAAGCTAAAGAAACGATTAGTTTCCCGTGCTAATTAGTTCCTAGAACAAAACAAGGAAGGATGGAGAATGACAGAGTGAGTTAGAGACGTACTTTGTTCTTAACAGCTAGAAGAAAAGTTAGAGAAAAGAAAGGGAAATAGGAAAGAAATCAAAGTGAATTCAAATTCCACATTTTGGACTTGAGAATCGAGCACTTAGGTGATTTAGAAAAACTTAAATGAGGTGCTTAAGTTAAACCAATATCGTCAAGTTACAATTACTCAGTAAATTCTATTTCTTAGAGGCTAAGCGAGATTGGTTTGAGTTAAACTCGGCCACTTAAGCAAATGAAACAATTAGTTGCCAAAGCTAATTAGTTCGTAGAACAAAAGAGAGAAGGACGGAGAGAGTTGGACAGAAACTTTCTTCTTGAGAGCTAGAAGAGAGAAAGATAGAGAAATCAATAATATAGAGAAATGGGAGCAAAATCGGGGTGAATCCAAATTCATCGTTTTGGACGTGAGAATTGAACACTTAGGTGATTTGGAAAAACCTAAATGAGGTTTGTGAGTTAAACTAATATCGTAAAGCTACAATTACTCAGTGAATTTTATTTCTTTGAGACTAAACGAGATTAATTTGAGTTAAACGTGGCCGCTTAAGCTAATGAGACAGTTAGTTGCCTGAGCTCATTAGTTCATAGAGCAAAAGAGAGAATGATAGAGAAGGACGGTGACATTTAGAGAGAAAGTTTCTTTTTGGGTGCTAGGAAAGAAAGCTAGAATCTTGGCTGAAAAAGCTTGTGATCCCCTATTCAAGTTTCATTGGAGGTGTGATAAAACCAAGATTTTCAATCTCTGCTTTGCAGATGATCTTATGATTTTCAGTAAAGGTGATACTGGCACTGTCAATCTTATCATGCAAGGCCTTGAGGAGTTTAGGTTGTTGTCTAGTCTCGCCCCTAGTCCTAGTAAGAGTAATATATTCTTCTCGGGGTGTAATTGTGAGCTTAAAAATGACATTCTTCGTATTTCCAAGTTTACTGAGGGCACTCTTCCGGTGAAATACTTGGGTGTGCCCTTAATCACTACGAAGCTTAAGGCTACTGATTGTAAAATTCTGATTGAGAGGATCACCAAGAGGATTAAGAGCTGGACCAATAGACTTCTTTCTTATGCGGGTAGAGCCCAACTTATCCAGACTATCCTTTTTTCTATGCAAGTCAATTGGTCCTCACTTTTTATCCTTCCAAAAAAGGTGATTAGAGAGATTGATAGCATTTTGAGATCGTTTCTTTGGTCGGGTGTTGAGTTGAAGATGCATAGTGCTAAAATCGCTTGGAATAATGTCTGTAAGCCTAAAGGTGAAGGGGGCTTAGGGTTCAAGGAGATGGGGGTTTGGAATAGGGCGGCTATCACCAAACACGTTTGGTTCTTGTTCTCCGGAGGGGAAGGATCCATGTGGTGCCAATGGGTTAAGTCCTACTTCCTTAAGGGTAAGAGCTTTTGGCATATTAAGATGCGTAGTGACCCCTCATGGGTCTGGAGAAAATTCTGTCTCTTAGAAAAAATATCTTCCCTCTTATCAAGTTTAAGATTGTTAATGGAGAGAAGGTGTTTTTGTGGTTTGATAATTGGCATCCTTTGGGTTCTTTATGGGATAGGTTTGGGCATAGGATTATGTATGACACGGGTCTTCCTTTCAATTCCAAAGTTAGTGCTGTCATATCTAATAATGATTGGAAGTGGCCTATTGACAATTCTTGGGAGATCAAGGAGTGGATTTCTTCTACTCCTATTGAGCTTAAACCTAGTAGGGATATCCAGGATTGTCCTGTCTGGAACCTGACTGTGGATGGGAATTTTACCATACAATCTGCTTGGGATTGTTGGAGGGACAAGGGTACTATGGTGCCTTGGGCTAATCTTGTTTGGGGGTCTCCATCCATTCCTAGGGTCAGTTTTGTGGTCTGGATGGCTATTCATGAGAGATTAAACACGGGGAATAGGCTGCATCTATTCGGCCTTGTTCCTAATCCTACTTGTCCCCTTTGCCATGGTCCTGTGGAGAATCACTCTCATTTGTTTTTCAGGTGTGTTTATTCCTCTAGGATCTGGGGAGACATTCAAGTCAAGTGTAACATTAGCTGGCTCCAATTCTCCTGGCTGGAGTATGTGGTCTATGCTACTAAATCCACCAAAGGCAAAGATTTGAAGTCTGCTCTTACGAAACTCTCCTTTCTTTGCACTGTCTACCAGATCTGGATAGAAAGGAATAGGAGGATTTTTAGCAAGGAGTTTAAACCTGAGAAAATTGTGACTAATCTTATTGTCCAGATGGTTAGAGGTAGGATGCTTTCTATGTATAATCTGGCTAACTCTGCAGGTGATGCATGGTATTTGTCACAATGGAATTTACCTACAACAATTATGAAGCAGCCCCAGGACAACAATGCTGGAAGCATATTGAGTGGGGATAGTTTACCTATATTGAGGGTTGAGTGAGGGTGAGCACATATTGTGGGTTTTCTAAATGGCTACTCTTTTGCAGATTTATATCATGGATGCTTGTTCCAACTTGATAATGATATCTTCCTACACTCTAGCATGTTCGGTTAATGCCATATGCGGGCCGAGTGAAGTGAGCCAAAATAATTTAATCCTACATTGTGGGTTGAGGGATGTGAGTCTGCTCACAAATATATTTCTAACTGTTATTATATATTATAATTTTTATGTACAGGTTAAGGAAGCTCCTTTATACAGCAAAACAATTGAGATCATGAGTGAGTTTGAGAGATGTGGGCCTAGTGAAGTGAGAACATATACTGTGTCGAGTGTTGTTATTAGATGTGGGCCGAGTGATGGGAGGTCTCATATACTAAGTATAATTTTCCTCCTCTATGATGTCTCATGTAATATTGGCACTTACTATCTACTTCTCTATGGGCAGGTTAAGCAAAAACCGGTATGGTGGGTTTGTTACTGGCAGTCTCCTTTGGACTGTTACTGGGATTGTTATTGGACTATGGCTGCAAGTTGCATGCTGTTGGGGAAGGCTCTTAGGTGATGGCAACAATCTGTGTCTGGTTACGAGTTTAATGTTGACTGGTGGTGTGGAGGAGGCTGCAACCAACGCCCCTCTTTGAAACTGTATGCTGTGTGGAGATGCTCTTCGGCAATGGCAGCAAGTTGCGCCTTGCCTAGGCATTTCAGTGGGTTCATAAGCTGTTTTCAATTCTGGTTGTATATATACCCGTATGGTGGGACTGTAATTATTGTATATCGTAACGCTGGCCCCCTTTTTTTTAGGTTGTTTTGTTTATTAGTTCTGGACGTGTTTGAGACTAAGAACTGGGCTGGTTTTTTTTGTTTTGGTATTTCACGATGGACCTTGTATTATTCCAGTTCGGTACTACCTTTGGGATGGTGTAGTATAAGTTCTTGACCCCTATCTGATGTGGGACATGGTTCTTGAACAAGTATTATGTACTGCTTAGTTGTTCTGGCAGAATGAGCTACTAGGTTATTGTTGATGGCTAGCCTTTTTGGGGCCAGTTATTTCTTTTCTTTTTAAGTTAGGGCGTTGTCGTTGTATTTTGGGGTAGGGCCTGGGGTATGCCCCTTGTAATCGTGTAAATTTTCTTGTTTTATTTATTTCTTACTCACCCAAAAAAAAACTTGGACACTTAGGCTGATTAAACTAATAATTGCCTAAGCTAATTAGTTAGTGGAACAGAAGAGAGAAGGATGGAGAAGAACGGATAGAGTTAGAGAAAAACTTTCTTCTTGAGTGGTAGAAGAGAAAATTGGAGAAAAGAAAGGGAAATACGATAAAAATGAAAACAAATTGAAATTCATCCTTTTGTAAATAAGAATTGAACACGTAGGTGATTTAGGAAACCTTTTTGCTGGTTGAGTGTTTTCGCCTATTTCTTTTGTTCTTGTATAGTTTTCGTTAGGTCCTGGGGTATGCCCCTTGTAGCTGTGTAATCTCTGTTTTTTATTTATGTCTTATTCACCCAAAAAAAAGAAAGAATAGAAAGTTAGAGAACAGTAGGAACAAAATTAGAGGGAGTTTAAATTCATCCCTTTCGACTTGAGAATTGAACATTTAGGTGATTAAGAACTCCTTAAATGAGGTTCTTAAGTTCAACTATTGTCGTTAAGCCGAAATTACTCAGTAAATTCTTGTTCTTAGACGCTAAACAAGAACAGTTTGACTTAACCATAGCCACTTAACATAATGAAACAATGAGTTTCCCTAGCTAATTAGTTTCTAGAACAAATGAGAGAAGAACGGAGAGCGTTTGGGAGAAACATTCTTCTTGACAGGTACAGGAGAAAGTTAGGGAAAAGAAAGAGAAATAGGAACAAAATCAAAGGGAATTCAAATTCAAATTTTTCGACTTGAGAACTGAACACTTCGGTGACTCAGAAAACCATAAACGAGGTTCTTAAGTTAAATTAAAATCGATAAGGTACAACTACTCAGCACACTCTCTTTCTTAGATGCTAAGTAAGATTTGTTTGAGTTAAACTAGGCCACTGAAGCTAAAGAAACGATTAGTTTCCCGTGCTAATTAGTTCCTAGAACAAAACAAGGAAGGACGGAGAATGACGGAGTGAGTTAGAGACGTACTTTGTTCTTAAGAGCCAGAGGAAAAGTTAGAGAAAAGAAAGGGAAATAGGAATGAAATCAAAGTGAATTCAAATTCCACATTTTGGATTTGAGAATCGAGCACTTAGGTGATTTAGAAAAACTTAAATGAGGTGCTTAAGCGAGATTGGTTTGAGTTAAACTCGGCCACTTAAGCAAATGAAACAATTAGTTGCCAAAGCTAATTAGTTCCTAGAACAAAAGAGAGAAGGGCGGAGAGAGTTAGACAGAAACTTTCATCTTGAGAGCTAGAAGAGAGAAAGATAGAGAAATGGGAACAAAATCGGGGTGAATCCAAATTCATCGTTCTGGATGTGAGAATTGAACACTTAGGTGATTTGGAAGAACCTAAATGAGGTGCGTGAGTTAAACTAATATCGTAAAGCTACAATTACTCAGTAAATTTTATTTCTTTGTGGCTAAATGAGATTAATTTGAGTTAAACGTGGCCGCTTAAGCTAATGAGACAATTAGTACCCACCCAAAAAAAAAAATGAGACAATTATTGCCTGAGCTCATTAGTTCATAGAGCAAAAGAGAGAGTGATAGAGAAGGACGGAGACAGTTAGAGAGAAAGTTTCTTCTTGGGAGCTAGAAAAGAAAGCTAGAGAAAAGAAAGAGAAATAAGAACAAAATCAAGGGGAATCGAAATTCGTTCTTTTAGACTTGAGAATTGAACTCTTAGGTGATTTAGAAATCCATACACGAGGTTCTTAAGTTAAACTAAAATCATCAAGCTACGATTACTCAGTAAATACGCCTTCTTACAGGCTAAGTTAGATTGAGTTAAACTTGGCCACATTTGCAAATGAAACAATTAGTTTCCTAAAGTAATTAGTTCCCAGAACAAAAGGGTGAAGGATGGAGAAGGACCGAGAGAGAATGAGAAATACTTTCTTCAAGAGAGCAAGAAGAGAAAGTTAGAGAACAGTAGGAACAAAATTAGAGGGAGTTTAAATTCATCCCTTTCGACTTGAGAATTGAACACTTAGGTGATTAAGAACTCCTTAAATGAGGTTCTTAAAATTACTCAGTAAATTCTTGTTCTTAGACACTAAACAAGAACAGTTTGACTTAACCATAGCCACTTAACATAATGAAACAATGAGTTTCCTTAGCTAATTAGTTTCTAGAACAAATGAGAGAAGGACGGAGAGCGTTTGGGAGAAACATTCATCTTGACAGGTACAGGAGAAAGTAAGGGAAAAGAAAGAGAAATAGGAACAAAGTCAAAGGGAATTCAAATTCAACTTTTTCGACTTGAGAACTGAACACTTCGGTGACTCAGAAAACCTTAAACGAGGTTCTTAAGTTAAATTAAAATCGATAAGGTACAACTACTCAGCACACTCTCTTTCTTAGATGCTAAGTAAGATTAGTTTGAGTTAAACTTGGCCACTTAAGCTAAAGAAACGATTAGTTTCCCGTGCTAATTAGTTCCTAGAACAAAACCAGGAAGGATGGAGAATGACAGAGTGAGTTAGAGATGTACTTTGTTCTTAAGAGCTAGAAGAAAAGTTAGAGAAAAGAAAGGGAAATAGGAATGAAATCAAAGTGAATTCAAATTCCACATTTTGGACTTGAGAATGGAGCACTTAGGTGATTTAGAAAAACTTAAATGAGGTGCTTAAGTTAAACCAATATCGTCAAGTTACAATTACTCAGTAAATTCTCTTTCTTAGAGGCTAAGGGAGATTGGTTTGAGTTAAACTCGGCCACTTAAGCAAATGAAACAATTAGTTGCCAAAGCTAATTAGTTCCTAGAACAAAAGAGAGAAGGGCGGAGAGAGTTAGGCAGAAACTTTCTTCTTGAGAGCTAGAAGAGAGAAAGATAGAGAAATGGGAACAAAATCGGGGTGAATCCAAATTCATCGTTCTGGATGTGAGAATTGAACACTTAGGTGATTTGGAAAAACCTAAATGAGGTGCGTGAGTTAAACTAATATCGTAAAGCTACAATTACTTAGTAAATTTTATTTCTTTGTGCCTAAACGAGATTAATTTGGGTTAAACGTGGCCGCTTAAGCTAATGAGACAATTATTGCCTGAGCTCATTAGTTCATAGAGCAAAAGAGAGAATGATAGAGAAGGACGGAGACAGTTAGAGAGAAAGTTTCTTCTTGGGAGCTAGAAAAGAAAGCAAGAGAAAAAAGAAAGAGAAATAAGAACAAAATCAAGGGGAATCGAAATTCGTTCTTTTAGACTTGAGAATTGAACTCTTAGGTGATTTAGAAATCCATACACGAGGTTCTTAAGTTAAACTAAAATCATCAAGCTACGATTACTCAGTAAATACTCCTTCTTACAGGCTAAGTTAGATTGAGTTAAACTTGGCCACATTTGCAAATGAAACAATTAGTTTCCTAAACTAATTAGTTCCAAGAACAAAAGGGTGAAGGATGGAGAAGGACCGAGAGAAAATGTGAAATACTTTCTTCTAGAGAGCAAGAAGGGAAAGTTAGAGAACAGTAGGAACAAAATTAGAGGGAGTTTAAATTCATTCATTTCGACTTGAGAATTGAGCACTTAGGTGATTAAGAACTCCTTAAATGAGGTTCTTAAGTTCAAGTATTGTCGTTAAGCATAAATTACTCAGTAAATTCTTGTTCTTAGACGCTAAACAAGAACAGTTTGACTTAACCATAGCCACTTAACATAATGAAACAATGAGTTTCCTTAGCTAATTAGTTTCTAGAACAAATGAGAGAAGGACGGAGAGTGTTTGGGAGAAACATTCTTCTTGACAGGTACAGGAGAAAGTTAGGGAAAAGAAAGAGAAATAGGAACAAAATCAAAGGGAATTCAAATTCATCTTTTTCGACTTGAGAATTGAACACTTCGGTGA